TATATAAGTCTCCAGGTGGCTCAGCGGTAAGTCTGAAGGCTTAAAAGTTAAAACGATAAAAATTGAGGCTCGATACTTGTAATACAGCAGACAGCTCATTGTGTAGCTTTGAGTAACAAGCAAACAAATAAATCTTATGTTACTCAGTGGGTCAGCAGTAGATTAACAGACTTACGTTGCTGAAATATGGGGTTCGATTTCTTGAAGTGAACACAGCGCAAAAAGCCCATTCTGCAGCTTTGTGCTCAAAAATCAACAAAAATAACGACAACTGTTATATTAAAAGTAAGAAGATCAAATCAAATGATATAGCATAATATAACCTTTAAGGGACAACCAGATCGAGGCTACCACTATGCAAAAAAATTATAATCCAGCCCTGATCATTTAAGCTTCCTTAATTTGACTGCATCCGCCACACTTGAAGACAACCCATTCCACAGGTCGACCAATTTGTTCGAAAAGTATAATTGTCTAAGCTGAAGATGACTCCTATCTTGTCATAATTTATATTTGTGTCCACTTTTCCCACCATTCTTGTCAAAATATACGAAAAGAGATGATGTATTGTACTATCAAGTCCTTAATAATCTTGAAAAACTTGATAATATTCCCTCTAACTCTTCTTTTTACAAGATAAAACTATTTCAGAGATTTTAACCTGTCTCAGTGTAACAACCTTTCCATTCCAGATATCATCCTAGTAGTCCCCTATTGAACTATTTCCAATAATTCAATGATTTCTTAAGGTAACGAGCTCAAGAGCTTAACATGAGTGTGAAATGCTACTAAGTGTGTGATGTTTCATGAGCAAATTTGGCTTTGTTTGCGTATCTTGGTTTTTGCATTTAAGGCCAGTTTTGCTCCTGTAAAAAGGAGGGTTAAGATATTTTAAGACTTTAAAAGAATGCACAAAGATTCAATACAGTGGTGCTTTGTTTAAACTTTAGGCTCTGTGTTTTGATCTGGCGAAACCTGTAAGTATGAGTTGAGTTTTTGTGTTTGTTTAACTTTGGAGTTTTATAGAAGTAATTTGATTGTTATTTTTGCTTGAGTTTAAGAGTAAAGTTATCTTGAGTTTGTCAGTTAGTAAGTAAACGTTGTTTTGGTTTATTTTAAAAGTAGTTTTTGCTTAAAAGCAGACTTGATTTTGTTTTAACATTTTTAGATTTAACTTTTGCATTTCACTTAACGTTAACTTTGGGACTTAACCTTATTTGTATGCTTTGAGCCAAATGAGGTTTTTGTTTAACTTACAGAAGAGCACACTGAAGTGATAAGAGTTTTTGAATAAAGTATTGTTGCGTCATCAAGGTCACGTGACTGGTGTGGCGCCACCTATTTTCTAGAACTATCCTGTACCTTGGCGAATACTCTAGTATTTACTAGATATAGGGTAGTCTGGTATATAAAAGAGGGTGACAACGTGACGGAATAATGTAATGTGTGTGTGTAGATAGTGAGTAATTGAACTGCAGTCATAGGGTTTTGTTGAAGTTAACGTTCGATCGTTATAGTGTTTGTTTTAGCGCGAATATTAAAATTAAGTGTATCGTAAAGTTATATTCGGAAAGAATAAACCAGTTTTATTAAGTAAAGACTTGTGTCGTCAAAGTTTCGTCGGAACGAAGTTACGGAAAAATCAATTAACAAACGGAGACGTAACAAATTGGTGTCAGAAGTGGGATAGAAAAAAAAATGGAAACGAGGAGCGGCAACTCAAACTACAGCCTAGCAGACTTGATGGCAGCAATACACGAACAGCAAAAGAAACAAGAAGAATGAGAGGAGAAATTACAACATTTGTTAGAGGAAAAAGAAAAGAAACAAGAAGAACGAGAGGAGAAATTACAACAGTTGTTAGAGGAAAAAGAAAAGAAACAAGAAGAACGA